GGGGGGGGGGGGGACACAGCCCCCCCCCGTGGCCACAGCAGCCAGCCCCTCTGCTGCTGGGGACTCGGGTGCCTGGGACGGCAGACAGCACCCGCGCTGCCAGGACGGTGCCCGAATGGCCAGGCCCCGTCGGCCGCAGGGCTGAGCTCTGATCCTACCCCAGAAGCCGGCTCCTCGGGGAGGAGCCTTGGGGCACCCCCGTGGCCTCCTGCTTCGGCTGGGAAGAGGCTGCAGGCAGAGGGGCACTCGGTGTGCCCCTTGCTGTCGGCGGGAGATAATTAGCTGGGCACAGCGTGTGCATGGAGCCCGCACATGCACACAGACACGCGAGGCAGGGTGCCCACATGCGCACGGATAGGCTAAGCAGAGCGTGCACACATGTTGGTGCATGTGCACAATGCTAGCACACACCCACACACATGCGCTGACCTACACACACACACACACACTAGGCAGGGCACGCACACAATACACGCGCACACGGGGCACGCATCCGTGCCGGCACCAGCCCCCACCTGCAGTGTCCGGCTCTTCTCTTGCGCCACGTCGGACATGCCCTTCAGCACCTGCTTGGCCTGGTCGTCCTGGGCTGAGTCCTTGCGTCGCCGCAGCCGCATCTTGCGGGCCAGGGGGTCCTTGGTGCCGCTGCCTGTGCCACGGGCGGGGGGAAGCGCTGGTGACCACTGAGCCATCCTGCCCCACAGCCCTGCCAGAGCCAGGCCCACAGCTGGTCTGGTCTCTGCTCCCCGTCTTGCTGCCTCCCCCCCCGACCTGCAGCGGCCGCAGCCACGGTGGCCGGCGAGGCGCCTGCCAGGCGCAGCTGGTTCTGCAGGGAGAAGTCGATGTTGTACCACTCCGAGGTGCGGTCCACGGGCTTCGGCGGCATCACTAGGCTGGGGTTCTCCCGCACGTCCAGGATCTGTGGGCACCGACGCGCTCACTCGCACCCAGGTCCCCTCCAGGTACCCAGGCCCCCCCAACCCAGCCCTGCGAAAACCCGTGGCCAGGCCCATGGGGTAGCCCCTGCCACCCACGGGGGCCCCCTTCAGCACAGCAGCACATGCTCAGGGGCCTCCCTCCCCTTGCACGCTGCGTTGTGCAAGCACCCCACAGGGAACGGGGCTGCCCGGGCCTGTCCCAGTGCTGGGCACCGCAGCTCCAGGCGTGAGAGCCCCCACGGGACAGGGCAGCCAGGCACAGCAGCACGTGGGTCTCTCTCAGCTGCAGGCCCAGAGCTGGCCCCAGCACCAGAGCTGGGTGCAGCCCTCCCACCCCCATTTCTGCAGTGCCCAGGGGGATGTGGCGGCGGGGGTGTCTTGGGGGACCCTCCAAAAAGGGTTTTTGCTACAGGCGCCTCACCTCCACGTCCGTCAGGAAGTGGATCGCCTCGGGCAGCGTGACCAGGCGGTTCTTGTTCAGCACCAGCTTCCTCAGCTTTGCGCACCTTCGAGGGGAGCAAGAGGCCACATAAGCCAAGGGCTGGCACTCCCCCCACACGGCTCGGGCTAGTTCGGTGTGCCCGGGCTGGGGGGAGCCCAATAGCCCCAGGGGCACTTGCAGGGACAGCGCTCCGTGGGGGGAGCAGAAGCCACCTGCTCTTGCACGGGGGGACCCAGGCAGCTGAGCCACCCCCTGCTCTCCACGAGCATCACCCAGCTTACGCTTGGCTGCCCACCCCAGAGCCTCGAGCACACCCTGCCCCGACTGCACGGGGCACCTGGAAGGGGGAGGGCATGGGGGCCATTCCCAGTGCTTGCAGGGTCTGGGTCCCCCGAATACCATGGGGCTGGGGGTGCTCTGCCAGGATAGACGGCAGCTTCCTGGCAGTCAGCAGGGCCGACAGCAAGCAGCCCCCTCCCCGGGCCAGGACCCCCACCTGCAAAGGCTCTCCGGGATGAGCTCCAGGTTGTTGTTGGCAGCCATGAACTCTTCCAGGCTGGCCAGCTTGCCGATGCCCGAGGGGATGCCGTCGAAGTCCAGCTTGTTGGAGTTCAGGTACAGCTTCTTCACCTTGGTCAGCTTGCAGATGGCCGACTGGAGGGGAGCAGAGCTGGTCACCCCCTCTGCATCTCTGTGGCCGGGCCAGGGCCGACAATCATTCGAAGCCCCCGGCATCTGGCCCCTGCCAGTGGCCCAGGGAGGTGAGGAGCAAGGCCGCAGGGCAGCTGAGGGAGGACACCTGCACCTCCCCGGGGGGAGCTCTGCCCCTGGCCTGGGTGGGGAGGGGCGTGGGGCAGGGGCAGACCTGGGAGGCTGGGCATAGCCAGGGGCAGGAAGCCTGAGGGAGGGGGGCCGACCCAGGCCTGCTGAGTCACGGGAAGGGCAGGCCCAGCCCCGCTCGTGATGCAACGGCATTTGCCGCTTGCTAAACCGCGGCTGCGGGAAGCGGGGCTGGCTGGCGCGGCCAGGGCAGGCTACATACGGGCAGCGAGGTGAGCTGGTTCCTCGACAGGTTGAGGGTCTCCAGCTGGGTCCACTGGTCAATGCAGAGGGACAGCTCCGAGATCTGGTTGCTGCTCAGGTTGAGGCGCCGCAGGCTGGGCAGGGTGTAGAGGCACTCGGGCACCCGGTTCAGGTCGTTGCAGGACAGGTCCACGTCTGGGGGGCAGCAGGAGGGCAGCGAAGGCCCCAGAGGGGTAGGTGAGCGGCTCCGGCTGGGCACGGCCGTGCCCAGGATCACAGGGACAGGGCACTCCGGGCCCCATCCACCTTCCCAAGATGCAGAGCAAGGAAAACCCTTTACCCCGCCAACCTAGTTCCTGCCTGACCCCCAAATCGGAGGGCTGGAAGCAAGAAACATCAGCCAGACCCTAAACTGGGCTCGTTACGACCTCCGAGCACCAGCCCAGCCCATTCTGCTCCTGGCCTCCAGCTGGGCTGACCCCACTCCTCGGAGGACGGGCACCTGGCCTGGAGACAGGACCTCCTGCCCCGTTACCTGCCCTCTCCCCTTCCCAGGTGCCAGGGGCAAACGCCCACTGAGCCAGCACTGACCTGCCAGGTTCGTCAGGCCTTCCAAGCTCGTGGGCAGGTTGCTCTGGGTGCGCTGCGTGTTGCGGAGATGCAGTGTCTGCAGCGCCGTCATCGCCGGGAGTTGCCTTTCAGTGGGAAGAAGAGAGCAGCCGTGAGGCGGGGGCTGCGAGCACAGGACACGCCGGGTCGGGGGACAGGGGGACGCAGGTCCCAGCTGGGATCACAGGCCGCTCCCAGGAGCACGGGGTAGCTCCCCTGGTGCCAGGGGGCCGTGGGTCGAGCGCGCCGGGGCTGGCTGGGAGCCCCTGCAGAGGGAGCTGGGGGCACTTCACAGGGCCGCTCTGCCTGCCTCAGGCTCCTGCTTTCCTCCCCGGGACCGATCAGCCCCCAGCCCACAGGCCCCGTACCGCAGCTGGGCGTGGAGGAGCGGGTTGTTGTTCAGGACCAGCGTCTGCAGGTGCACGAGGCGCCGCATCTGCGGGGGCAGGGTCTCCAGCCGGTTGTCGCTCAGGTCCAGGTACAGCAGGTCCGTCAGGTTGATGAACAGCTGGTTCGGGATGCTGTCGATGCTGGGGGGGGGCAGGAGGGGATGCGCCGGGGTCACTAGGGCTGCCTCGAGGTCCTGCCCCATGGAGAGGGCTTCGCGGGGAGTCTTCAGCCCCAGGGATGGGATCAAGTCTCCCTGCCCCAGCCTGGAGGGGCTGCCTCTGGATGCAGCTGCTCTTCTCCAAGCCGTCCCCCCTTCCACGTGCTCCCAGCCCCCAAGGCCTCCCCCAGCTCCGTTAGGAGTGGAGGGGGGGGACTGCCAGGAAACGCCCAGCTCCAGGCAGCCACGTGCCCCCCACCCCACAGCCCCTCGCTCGGCCCGCCCCACCTGTTGTGGCCAAGGTTGAGGACCAGCATGTTCTTGGCGTTCTCCAGCTCGCGGGGACACTCGGTGAGCTGGTTGTAGCTGAGGTCCTGGGGGCGAGAGGCAGAGGAGCGGTCAGAAGGAGCCCTCCATGCCCCGTTCAAACAGTGGTGACGGACGGGCAAAGGGACATGCCGGGGTCACACTGCCAGGAAGTGGCAGAGACTCGGACACACCACCCAGGAGCCCGGGTTCACCAGCCCTCTCCAGTGGCCCAGCCAGAGGGTTTTGCAGCTGGGTTTGTGCTCAGCCCGCTCCGCTCTCCCCGCAGGAGCCCTGGCGCTGCGCAGCGGCCGTGTCACGGGCAGGGGGGGCTGGGCCAGCACCAGCCCCCGGCACATACCAGCACCGAGAGGTCATCCAGCTGGAAGATGTCATCGGGGACGCCCGAGTTCTTCAGGCTGTTTGCTCGGGCCACGATCGCCTGCAGAGGGGAGAGGGAGTTTGGGGCAGAGGTCACCCAACAGCTGCAGGGAGGAGGAGGGATCCTAGGGGTGGGGGGCAGGGATCCAGCTCCTGCCAGCCTGTGGGCCCCATCCCGCAGAACCAGCACGCGTGCTCGCTGGTCTCCGCAGCGGGCTGGTGGGAAGCCAGAGTCCCTCTCCCCTCGGGGAGGGCAGTGCTAGCACCCCCGGGGCCAGCCCCGCCGGCCAGCAGCCTCCGGCAGTCCTGGACCCAGCCCCGACCGCACCCTCCAGCCACGGGCGGGAGCTGGCGGCCGCATCCCAGCACCGCAGGCGGCTCCGCAAGCGACCGAAGGCCCGGAGCCACGTCGCCGGCCCCGCAAAGATGACGGGCCCTGCCGGCTTCGCACGCTGCGTCCCTGGCCTGCGGCGGGCACAGCCTGGCGGTCCGGCTTTGCAGCACCCGAACCCAGCACGGGCTGAAAGACGCTGCGCCCCCACGAGCATCTTCGTGGATGAGGGATTCGGCCTCTTCCGCAGGGAACCGGCCCAAGTCGGCACCGCACGCGGTCCAGCCTCAGCCCAGCCGCGGCGCCCGCGGGACGGGGCCAGCGAGCTCCCTCGTGGTGGCCGAAGGGGAGGCTGGACGCCGAGCCCCAGCGCTCGCACGGGGGGCCCACAGGGCGCTTACCCGGAGGCAGGGGAGGCCGGAGAGCTCTCCGTGCAGCGTGGTCAGGCTGTTGTGGCTCACGGACAGGTGCTCCTGCGGGGAAGCCGGAGAGGCGTGAGAAGCGCCAGTGGGAAAGTCGACCCGCAGGCCGGGGGCAGGTGCCAGGCCCCAAGCGCCCTTGTCCCGAGCTCCTGCCCTCACCCGCAGCCCCCCGCACCCCGGGCGCCGCCTCACCAGCTTCTGGAGGGCGGAGAGCTCCTCGGGGAGGTAGCACAGGCCCGTGCGGTTCAGCTTCAGCCACCGCAGGCTGGTCATGCATTTCACGTGCTCCGGGAAGTAGCCGCCCTGCGAGAGCGGGGGACGCGCGTTGTGGCCGGGGCGCGGGGCGCCGCGGGCGCCAGGGCGCTGATCCGGGGGGACCCGCA